CACTCCTCAATTCGTTCCGATGTATGGTACTCGGACCATAACATCACTCCTCCATCCGCTCCGATGTATGGAACCCGGACCATAACATCACTCCTCAATCTGCTCTGATGTATGGTACCCGAACCATAACATCACTTCCTCAATCTGCTCTGATGTATGGTACCCGAACCATAACATCACTCCTCGATCGGCTCTGATGTATGGTACTCGAACCATAACATCACTTCCTCAATCTGCTCTGATGTATGGTACCCGAACCATAACATCACTCCTCAATCTGCTCTGATGTATGGTACTCGAACCATAACATCACTTCCTCAATCTGCTCTGATGTATGGTACCCGAACCATAACATCACTCCTCAATCTGCTCTGATGTATGGTACCCGAACCATAACATCACTCCTCAATCGGCTCTGATGTATGGTACCCGAACCATAACATCACTCCTCAATCGGCTCTGATGTATGGTACCCGAACCATAACATCACTTCCTCAATCTGCTCTGATGTATGGTACCCGAACCATAACATCACTCCTCAATCGGCTCTGATGTATGGTACTCGAACCATAACATCACTTCCTCAATCTACTCTGATGTATGGTACCCGAACCATAACATCACTCCTCAATCCGCTCCTTAGAACCTTCAGAATGCTCCCTGTATCAAGTATGGGTCCTCTGCTTTCAGTAGTACGGGCCCATACTACCTGCCACATCTACCCATACTTTCCACACGGACCATCCCAGAGCTTTTAAATAGCTGCTCGACCTGCTCTTTCACCAATCCCATCGCGCGTGCTCGCTCCCCAGCGAAATTCTCTATTCTACAAGCGCACTCACCTGGATCGGGTTACTCCCTAAGCTCTTTCGTTGTCCTCCCACTTCTTTGCTATCAGCTGCTGAAGAGCTCCTAATGATGCCAGCCATCTACCTCCTGAATATCGTCATATTCACTTGGTAGCTGACTCCCATCATCGAGAGTTCCACAAAGCACAAAGCAAGCAGCATTCGAGCATCGAAGAATACATAGGACTCCCTCTCTGTGATAACTCCACCTTCTCGGCTCATCCTCGAAAGTACCACCAAACTCTGTAACTCTACCCCTCATGGGTTCTAACTGGATACTCTCACTCATCACATACTCAAAAGCATAACACATATAACAACGAGTCCTAGACTAAGGCATCACAAATCAGGCCACTCTAGTCCTAACATATGAAATACCTAGACTGTCTCTAGCATGCAATATTATCTCATAAGGTGCATCATAAATATCTCATAACACAAAAAAATAAGGGTATTTTGGGAAATCACCGTTCGGGCTCAGGCTGATTGTACACACTGCTCTTTCTTGCTTCCTCTTTGAACCCTTATTCATTTTTAGAAAATTATTTCCTTAAAACTTTTCTTACTTCCTCAGTTTGAGTCCAGATTTACCCGAAGGCGCATCCGAATCCCTCAAACCAAGGCTCTGATACCAACTTGTAACACCGTAAATTTCAAGACAAATTTTTCATTTAAAATAATCATTTTATTCTTAGAAACACTTGTTTAAAATCTCATTCATAGTCGATTTACAAAACATGACTCCATTTTCACTTGCATAGAAAACCAGGATCCTCCAAAATATGACTCTTTCTCTGGTGTGTACAATCAAGCCGGTGCCGTCCCGTGATACTGAAAGAAACCTGAAAAAAACATCACACAAAACACTGTAAGCACGAAGCTTAGTGAGTTCCCCAAAATACCACACATAACACATATTAGCCACTCGAGGCTATAACTCTATGGGTCCGTGCACCCAAACTCTGTGAACCCTCAGGCTCTAACTCTGGGAACCTTCCGGTTCCAACTCTATAAACATGCACAGCATAAATCACATAGAAATAATGCAGTACAACACATCACGTACATATAGCATACAAATACTCTGAACACATAACTCTGGTTACCTACTCAAGGTAAAGTATAGTGAGAAGACTCACCTGGCAAGCAGAAAGCAGATATCCCCACACTGGAATCTCAAACTCGCCACCGCCTAACACGTAAAGCAAATATTCTCATGAATATAACTCTCGAGACTAGAATAAATCCTCTCATAACACCCTCTCATGGGTAAAAGACTAGTTTACCTCTCTCTTGGCCCAAAGGCCACATCGCTGACCAAACCCTAAAAGTCAACGACCAACCCTTGGTCGAAATCAAAGTCCTCAGTCTAAGTCAACCCCTGACTGACCCTACTCGTCGAGTCAACTCTGTGACTCGTCGAGTTCCCATAATCAGAACTTCATTCAATCTGCGACCTAACTCGCCGAGTCACCCCAAGACTCGCCGAGTCCAACAACTCTGAGTCCACTCGCACTCGACTCACCGAGTCATCCCTCAACTCACCGATTCTCGACTCTACCAGAGAATATTTGGGACTCTTCGACAAGACTCGCCGAGTCCAAATGGACTCGTCGAGTCCAAGGCTATCTTCAACCTACTCGCCGAGTTGTTCTTCCAACTCGTCGAGTTCCAGGCCATCTGCAAGCAACTCGTCGAGTCTACCCATGTGACTCGCCGAGTACCACCGTTCTGAATCCATTCAGAAGCACTCCAGGCCATGCAATTGATCCAAAACATAGATCTAGCCTCCTACAACCCATCCATCACGTAAAGTGGCAAACTTTACGTGAATCCAAAGAGATCTAAGCCGTTTGCACATTGGGCTAGGATTTGGGACAAGATGACTCCATCAACCACTCACAAACAGGGACTTTCATGCACTCTAGACCTTCTCCCTTCCAGATCTGAGGTAGCAACCTCAGATCTAACCTCTAAACTCCAATACATCCAAAGATATGATCTCCAACATCCCCAAAATGATGCATCTAAGAAATAGCAGCTCAAAAAAACGAGATATTACCTCAAAGGAATGCCCTAATTGAAATGAGACTCGAATTCAAACAAAGCCCCTTGCTCCAAGCCTTCAATCTCCCAAAATTCCTTCACAAATACATTCTCCAAGCTCCACTCCATCCAACAATGGTGCTTCTTCGTGATTTAGGGGTTTCTGGGGCTCAAGGGGTGATAAAGAGGCTGGGAGGGAAACATAATGATCTTTATATAAGGCTCAACCCCGAGAATTAGGGTTTTCTCCACTCAGCGCCTACTCGCCGTGTCCATTACACTGACTCGCCGAGTCGGCCACTTAACACGCGACCAAGTCGCGACTCTACTCGCCGAGTCCGCACATGGACTCACCAAGTCACTCTTTCCCAATTTACTCTTTTAGCCCTTCAACTCTACTCTTGATATTTCGGGATGTTACACCCATGTATTTAAAAATAAAAAATAAAAAATCCATACAACTCTAGGGTGAAGCATAACGTCTCCCTCTGTATCAACATGCTCTGGAGCATGTGAGTCGTCTGAAAGGGGTAAGTTGTTGTCTGAATTTGCAGTTTGTGATTGGGTGTGTGCCTGTGCAGCTTACCAAACAGGATTCACATCCTTGGCTTCCTGAGTAGAAGCTTCCACCATCCTCTCCATAGATTCTCTACTGAACAAAATGTATTTTTATGAAATAAACATATATCGCTAAATAAACATATTTAACTTCTTTGGAAAATATAAAATATGAATTTCAAATCAAATAGTCAAAAATAACACTTCACGTTAGTTTTTTTTTTTTCATTCCATCATGCACATGGAATGGAATTTTGTAACATACTAACATAACCATTTTTATTTATGTAACTTATAAAATGACATGTTTTTTTCTGCAAGTATCCTCCAAAACGGATGCATGTCTATTATATAAAAAAATAGAAAAATAATTGTAATATGTGAAAAGATTTATGAATTATGGGTATAGTTTGCAGTTATATGTAAGTAGATAAGTTAAGATAACAGAACTAGAAGTCATCAATAGGAACCCACCTTTCAGTATTTGTTTTGCCTTGTGATAGGTTTACTTGATCATTTCAACAGTAAAAGATATAATATATCATGAAAAGAGAAAAGTTAAAAAGTAGTCACCTATCAAGATTTCTTTTGTCCAGGCCAAGAGAGTGATGCACCGAAATCAAACACCTGCTACATGAACATGAAATCTGAACGTCAAAAAAATATAACAGGAGTAGTAAAACAGATTAAAATGCCATGCCATGTAACTCATTGCAGAACAAAAAAACATCACACTATGGATATATAACAGGAGTAGTAAAACAGATTAAAAGACCCAGTCTTCTCTTGTCTAATTCTATGTATGCATCAAAACTCCAACTACTATCTATTAAATCTCACATTGCTACATTAAAAACCAATATATTAGCATACATCATAGACCACTAACTGATGCCACCAACTTATAAGGAAAACATAGCAGCATAAATGTCTAATCTGCTAATTACCTAGACTTGGATACTCTCGGCTGCAGATTCTTCACCAGCTGGGCCAGAGCCCATAACTTCCTATTCTAATTCCTTGTCTTGCTCAGATCTGGCAACAAGTATAAAATATATTCATAGTTATTATTTCCATTATAAAAAATATATTTATTACTACATAACACAACAAATTTATGTAGGCAACTTAAGAAACAAGTCACAAACCTTATTTTCCGAGTAGGCTTTGCAGCCCCTGTGACATTGACAAGCTCAAGCTCCAACTCCAACCTCCATAATAAGAAAAACATGAAGAGGTATACCAATGTAAAAAAAAATCCATGAAAATATGTTGTTATTTCATGCACTTAACCTAAGCAGACAGGAGAAATTAGTCAAATTACATACAAGGTCTTGTAGCATATTCGAGTTGAAGAAAGAATGCCACTACAACGCTTCTTCATATATCAATGTCTTGATTACATTAACTTAGGTTTTTTGGCTTAACCCAATAAGGGGCAGCTAAATCTACAGATGTACGATTATCTTCATCATCTGTGAAATAGTAACAATATGAGAACAAAACATACTAAGATTATACATAAAAAGAGAAGCAAAAAGGATAATAATGGTGGGTGTATTTTGTGATGAAGTGAATCTGTAAGAGGTAATTGATTTGATTCTGAATTTGGTGTTGGTCAGGGAGGGTTACCAACACCAGCAGCCCTGGGAGAAGTGACACAGTCTGCAAGACAGTTGCTGATTGAAGAAGCTGGAGAATGCTTGATGGTATCTTATTCTTATCTTCCAAACTAAACTTCCTAAATTTAACTATCAAGGTTATGTTGATGATTTGTGGTTGCGGCAATTGACATGAAAATTAGGGGATCAGAACAATGTAAGTGATCCTGTGACACGGTTAAGGATGCAGTCAAATGCTTTGTTGCAGAATTTGGGTGCTTTTCTGTTGGAGCTTGGATGAACGACCATGACACTACGATTGGGACAGTCACCCGTGGGTTTTTATAACTTTTAACTATGTTTCCAAGTTTCTTATACTAATTAATTAAAAACAAAAACCAATATATATATATATATATATATATATATATATATATATATATATATATATATATTACCTTGTTGTTGTAGAGTGATGCAGTGGTGAATGCTGGACCTGCTGTTTTCATATCAGCATCCGAACCAAATCCAATCATGGTGCAACCTCTACCTTTTCAACCTGGCACGAGTTTTGGAACAACCACACATCCACCTCCACCTCCAAATGTAGTTGTGACAAGGTCAGCCTCTGGCACTAGTAGTTTTGGTTCTGCTTTACGTCCAAGGAATATTGATATCAGAATACGTACAGGTATGTATTACTTACACTATTCTCATATTCGGATTTTAATGGGCTTCCATTCCATTTACTTCTTATATGCCCTTTCTTTAGGTTCAGCTTCAAATTTCATTAACAACTCTTCAACTGCAAACAGAAAAGAAAATTCTAGTTACTGAAACCCAAATCCATTAATCTACTAAATATTATTACAGATATAAACAGGGAATATGTGATGCAACTAATTCATCCATCCATTAAGGCAATACCAACCACACAGTCCTCTCATCAAATTACTATAATAATCTGATCTCTTATGCGAAATACCTTTTATAACCCTGACCTGGTTATGCTCAATAACATAATAATTAATAGTAAGTCAACATTCAACTATTATTTTTATAATTGAAGTAAAAGAGCTGACTGACATGCTGGAATTCAGAAGCCCAACCCCCAGCACCATTTTGTCGTTCAAAGGATAAAGCCCAAGCATTCGGGTCCCCATCGTGTTGTTGTGAAAATTCACTTAACAAACCTTTATGGAACAGCTCCTGGCCTTCCCTCAAAGGATCAGGATGCCCAACATAAGGATTTAAATCAGAAAATACATACAGCCCCCTTGAACTCTCAGATTTCTGCTTCATAACAGCTTGTTCGTTTAAGTACCTACAAAAACAATACCAATTTACCCAATCCATTCACCAATAATAAATATAATTATTCTTCCAATGCTTCTATGCTCCAACTCACTCAACTCTCAAGGACTTCAAATACATAAATTATTCAACGTCAACCACCAGATGATGAATTTTATTTTCTTATTCACTTTTACTCGTATCATCGTGTTGTTTATATAATTATAGTAGGAATTATCTTGTACTTTTTCTAGACCTCTTCTCCTTGAATTTGTATCTTATTTTTATGCAGCAACTAAAACATCCCACTTCTTTCAAGCTATGTGGCTAGGAATTAATAGGAAACTAATAGCTTAAGAAGGAATATGGGGTCAGTAACTGGTTGGGGAAGGAATACAAGTTAGTTCTACTTATACACCGAAAGGAAATGAGTGTTTCTCAACTCAAGGAAAGGGGGTGTTGAGGCGGCCATAAATGCAAGGCGGTAGGTCGTGTTAGTCCAGGTATGTTGTATGGATTAGACAACACAACTCAAAAGTCAAAATCAGCAAGCATTAATGAATTTTGAAAACTTAAAGTGATTTCGTTGTCTTGTCCCTCGTCTTCTTTTTTCATCTCCTCTGATTATCTTTTTTCCAATAAGTTAAGAGAGAGGCAATCAGACTTTATTGTAGTCTGTCTAGGTGATTAAGATGTTTTTCAGTGAAAATGACAACTTAATGAATAAGAAAGCTAACTGCTACCAACTCACTTACAACTTAGAAGAAGAAATCAATACTCAGGAAGGAACAAATAACAAAACTTACTTGAAGAATTGATTAAACACTCAAATCAACAAAGCTAAACCCCTAATGATTTGCTAGAGATTCTCCCAAAGGTTCCGAGATCAGAACTAGAACTTGACAAAAGATAACACTCCTTCCATCTACTACTCCTTTATAAGCATTCTAAAGAAAATACCTAAAATTCCCCTCCACTAATAAGATGTTATTTATTTTCTCATACTACCCTTTTCTATAATTGGATGTGTAACAGTAACTAACACATTTATCTATCCAATGTCTGGCCCAATCAGACTTTAGACATCTATTTAGTGCTTATTGCAAAATAAAAAATATGCCTTGGGGTGAATATTAAGGGTTCTGGATATGAGGAGGAATTCTAAGGTTACTTATATACAAGGGAAGCAGGTTTTGTTGAAATGATTATTAAAACAGCAGATTGTTTTATGTGGAGAAAAGAGGATAGAAGTTGCTCGTCATATGCAGATACCCAATTATCAGCAGAATCATCTTCCATAATCGCTTCACCAACCTGGCCACCAAATTCATCTGCCCAGTCGTTGGGAAAATTCATCAGCCCATCCATCTGCAAGGGGCCCCATGACTTGCGACTCCCCCCAATACTGATCCAGTTTTGCGTATCTACCAGGCATGTGCTCCCTAACCAACCCCCCATGATTATCGATCTCTAAAGAAGATAACAGAGCATTCACCTAAACTTAATTTTCATGGCTTAGAATTTACTAGCATCCTGAAAAATCATTACACAAACATCAAAACGAGAAAGATATATACAGAGAGAGAGAGAGAGAGAGAGAAACATGTAACAAGGGTGAAGGGGTAGTTTAGACATTTACCAGATGGGACCGTACGCGTCAATTGAGTCGATATAATTCTTCACAAAACAAAAAGTTCTATTCAATTTAGAGAAACTAATCAAAGTTGTTATAAGAAATAATGGAAAAGTAAAGAAATTGTAGGTGTTACACGAAAAATTAAGATATCGGGGAAGAAGAAGAAGAAGAAGAAGAAGAAGAAGAAGAAGAAGAAGAAGAAGAAGAAGAGAATGTTAAACAAGAACCCTAGGTTCGCTCACAATTTGTCTGAGAGAACTGTAGTGAATTATCGATCTAAATCAAGAATGTTGCTTAATTTTTGACTGATAACTATAAAGAAGAAGAAGATGATGAAGACCAAGGCCTAGTTTCTTGCTAATTGGAAGAGGCGGGAGGGGGGGGGTTTAATTTTTGGGATTCGATAGGCGGGTGAAATCCCCCTTAAAAACGCATGTTTCATTAAAATGTTATAAAGCGACACATTTAGACGACGCACATTTTATGAAAGTCGCCCTCCGCATTTCCTTTTTTTTTCTTTTCTCACACTAATTTTAGGCACGCACAAATACGTGTCCTCTATCCTTCAAATTATGCAAAACTGACATTATTTTTAGGGCGCTCACAAATGCGCGTCCTCTATCAGCGAGTGTCATTGTTTGCGCGTCATTAAAGACCTGTTTTCTTGTAGTGCCTATAATCAAGCAGTCCATGCAAGCTATATATAACCAAGAACAAATAGACCTTCGAATAGGTGATCCTACTCCAAAACCACAACTAAACAAGGAACAGGTAATAGAGCGAAGATCATCAATTCTAAGTCTATAAGATCCTAATTATATATAATCCTGGAAGCATGCACTTCATAACTATAGTGTAACACCCCAAAGTTTGGAAAGCCAAGAAAAGAAAGAAAACCTCAAGTTTTGGGGGGAGACTCGGCGAGTCCATGGAGGGACTCGGCGAGTCCGAGCGGGGTCCAAGTTGTGGTGTAAGCGACCGACTCGGCGAGTCGGCCAAGGAGACTCGACGAGTTGGGTCTGAGCGAGGAAAAACCCCAAATCCGGGATTTGGAGCCTATTTAAGCATCTCATTCTCTTTCCTAGGGTTCCTTTATTGCCTCTCTACCCCAGAGCACCAAACCCTAGCCGCTATATCTGTTTTTGAGCTAGATCTTGCCTTGTAGAGTGCACTAAAGCTTGGAGAAGGAAGAAAAGCCTAGGAGGTGCAAGAAGGGACTGTAGATCCAAGATTGAGAAGACATTTCAGACCAGTTGGAGGTAATAAGCTATTTCTTGGACTCCCTTTGCACCTAGATCTATTCTTATATGTGAGTTTTGGTCATTGTTGGTATGATATGTAGCCAATCCGAGTTGGAGGTTCAGATCTAAGGTTACTACCTCAGATCCATGTTTGTTTTGGTCTTGAATCCCCTAAAGTATCAGCCCTTGGTATGTTGAAGAAGTATGTTTGCCATAAACCCTAGTTTAGGGTGTTTTGAGCCTAGATCTCTTAATCTACACGTAAAGTTTGCCACTTTACGTGGGGGATAGTCCCTAGAAGTATGGATCTATGAGTTGGAAACTCTGTTTGGCTCGAAAAGCCATTGCATGGATTGAGGACTGGATAGACTCGGCGAGTCCTTCGAGTGGACTCGGCGAGTAGCTTGAAGATGAAGAGGAACTCAACGAGTAGGATGAACAACTCGTCGAGTCGGATGAAGTTAGGCATGGACTCGGCGAGCTGGATGAGAAACTCGATGAGTTGGTTGAAGATTGTCTAGGACTCGACGAGTCTATTCTTGGACTCGGCGAGTCAGATCGCGAAACCCTAAACCCTTCAAGTTGGGGCTCGAATCAGTGAGTCGGGTGGTGACTCAGCGAGTTGGGCAGGACAGGACTTGGAACTAGTTGGACTCGGCGAGTCGAGTCGCGAATAAGAAAGACCCAGAGCATATGAACTCGGCGAGTCAGTAGGTAGACTCGGTGAGTAGGGTTGACCCGGAAGGTTGACTTTGACCAGGATTTTGACCTTGACCAGAATGGACCTAGTGACATTTGGAGGCCAGTTGGACTAAGTGTTATATTGATATTGGTAGCTCGAGGAGCTAGTGGAGCAGCAGTCGAAGTCAGAGGCCAGGTAGCAGTCAAAAGGTTTAGCAGCAGCAGTTCAGCAGCATCAGGTGAGTTTCCTTCCAGTAGGGACGGGTCTAAGGCCACAATGCCGGCCCGTTCAGTTAGCAGTAGTTTCCGGACTTCGATCCGATGCAGTAGTTACTATGTTTGATGCCTTCGTGGCTCAGACAGGATTTATGTGTTATGTGCTATGTGTTATGTGTTCCGGGCTACGGCCCGATGTAGTATGCAGTATATGTGTTCATGCTAGTTGATATGTTATGCTATGCTATGTTCAGTCAGTTTCCGGACTTCGGACCGATGTAGGGGGCAAGGCCCCAGTTAGTCCGGACTTCGGTCCGATGCAGGGGACAAGGTCCCAGTCAGTTTCCCGACTTCGGTCCGATGCAGGGGGCAAGGCCCCAGTTAGTCCGGACTTCGGTCCGATGCAGGGGACAAGGTCCCAGTCAGTTTCCGGACTTCGGTCCGATGCAGGGGGCAAGGCCCCAGTTAGTCCGGAATCCGGTTCGATGCAGGGGACAAGGTCCCAGTTAGTCCGGATATCGGTCCGATGTAGTGGGCAAGGCCCAGTATGTGCTTTATATGTTATTGCATGGTATGTGTTAGATTGGGGGAGCTCACTAAGCTTCGTGCTTACGGTTTCAGTTTTGGTTTCAGGTACCCAGTTTTCAAAAGAGGAGCTCGGGAAGATTGCAGTACACACACCATAGTCAGATAGCCTGGGAATGTTTGACTCCGATAATGATATTATGTTTTGAATTAATACTCGAGAATTTATGTTATGACTTATGATACAGTTTTTATAAATATGATTTTAGTAATGTTTTTAAAGAAATTTTTGGGTCGTATTTTTGGGTCGTTTCATATAGACCTGCCAGTAAAGATCTTTTAGCTTTCATATAAGTTTGTTATAGTGCCTAAAATACTCCTATAGTATTTTATCTTTATGTTTGTTCTAGAGATCATTTGTATCTATAGTTAGGTAAGTTTTAGACTCGTTGCGACACCACTATCACTCCCAAACACATGTTGGTCGTATCTCAAATAAATATAGTTGATCAGGTTATATTTATTCCTAATATGATTACATAACTGCTTAGGTTTGACTGTAGTGTCCAACATCTAAATACTTTTGTTTGTTTTGTTCTTATTTGATCTTATTGTAATACTTGTTCTTAATATGTATGCTTCTTAGTATACATCTCGTAAAATACTTATATTTTAAAAGTATACTTTTAGTCAGAGCACATCGGCCCCATTGTATTTATAGTTGTATATCTTTTAATGGTTGATATACTAAGTTCACTATAAACAATGCTCTGATACCAATCTGCCACACCCTCAAATCAGAACGGCGGAAATGTTCGGGAGTGGATGACGTCATGTATAGTATCACAACAATTGAATAATAGTAATCCAAGGAACAACTACCATTGTATTAATAGTATAATGTTTACATTGTTTTCGAATCATAAACAACTAACTCCAAAAGTAAATAAGTAAACACTCGATGCTACTATGCTCCATCTTCTTGAACCTGACGTGTGTACCTGTCTACTAATGTCATGAGAATACAAGTAGGTTTTGAAAGAGTATCAGCATTAAGCTGGTGAGTTCATAAGCATTTTGTTTTAGAAAACTGTTATGTGTTCTTTCGAAAAGTGCGATGCGTTTCTCTACAAAACCTTATATTTTCTTATGTAATGAATGTTGAGTAAAAGCAAATGGTTCTTACTAGTTCCTCCTTTGAGTACTTAGTGTATACAAATCACATACAATCCAAATCGGGCAAACAATCAATTAATAGGTTCTGCCTCAAGCCCACAACCAAACAAGGTACAGGAAATAAGGTGGAGTCACACATCCCACTGCAAGTCGGATATTCAAGTATAAAACCCTGAAGTATTCACTAGATACTTACAGATTTAACTGTATTGGTCCTTTGATATCTGTTGATATTGTTTTTCAAGAAAATCCAATATTTTCTTATGAAAAGCTTGATTAAGCCCATTCCTTCTATAACTACTTAGTTCATACTTGTTATGTATAAACCAATATCGAACAAACAGTTAATTGTGTGGATCTGCCCTAAACCCACAACCAAACAAGGAACAGGGAATGAGGCGGAAACCACACATTCCACAGCCTATCGGACATTCTTCATACGTAACTCGGTTGTATAGACTAAGGATTTATAGAATTAATAATGAATATTTGTTAATTGAATAATAATCCCATTGTGTGTAAAGTACTGTTGTTTATCCTAGAAAATCCTATATTTTCCCTAAATGTAAATTATTGAGTTATCTGCTCCAAATGAAAAAGTGCAAGTATCTACCATACTTATGTTGTTTATGCATTGTTCAGTTTGAAAACTCTTGCTACCACCAGTAACGTGTAGTAGTTTTATTACATAAATAAAACTAGTTGAAAACGTATTGTTCTGTATACCGAAAGTGTTGTTAATACCCTCTGGTAATCAATTAGTACATACGAGTTATGCAAATCAAGATTGAACAGACAGTCGATTGGGTGATTCTGCCCTAAACCCACAACCAAACAAGGAACATGGAATGAGGCGAAAGTCACACATCCCAGTGCATGTTAGAGGTTAATTTCGTATCACCCTAATATATATACTAATAAATCCCCTAGTTATTAACCTTGATGACTGATTGTTAAGTACATTACTACGTGAACGAGTCGTTGTTTCCCCAGTGAGTTCTTATAACCATACTATGGTCAATAAACATTATGACGTACTTCGGATGTCGTGAACTGAATGACGTTTGTCACCCTAGGTTGACTATAGCTAATAGTCAGGGTGCAAGATTGTCACTCCCGTATAGATCTATACACAAACTCACGCTCACCCTCCAAGAGACTCTGGTTACAAGGGGTCGACTTCCCAGAAGACGTGTCTCACATTGTAGTTTTCTCAACGAATCCACAAATAATACTATGAAACCCCTTTTTGTTATAAATATGAATCCTTATAAAAATAATACCTCTTATTCCAAAGTTCATAAGATTGTTTCCTTGTTTGAAAACTATACTTGTAACGTTTGTATCTTAACATGTTTTGGAAAACTGATTTCAAGTCTAGTAATAACGATGTTTATCATGTTTAGTAGTTCTACGTTCGATGTGTGCTAATGATAGGAAAATGTAATAAACCAAATTATATTTTTAAACACAAGATTACTCGTGCTTTTACTTGTACCCCCCCCCCCTGAAAATGTTAAAAATCATAAAAGCGTAGGGGTATGAACTCACTGTTGGTTGTGTGTGCGTGCCGGAGCACGATACTGGATATGATGACCCTCGACTTTGCTGTACGCGGCGCGTAAAGGAATCCTAATAAAAATTAAATACATATTTGTATCTAAATTAGCAATTTCGTTAGATAAAGTGTTAGAAAAACACTTGCTTTCGGTTAACGAATGTTATCGGGACTTGATTAAATCGGGAAAATCGGGTTTTTAGCCATGAATCATGGTGAGAGGGAGTTTTCGGTCGTGAAGGGGGTTTATGGTCGTGACTGTTTGCGGCCGTGAACAACCCATTGAAGGGTTTACGACCGTAAACAGTTTGTGGCCCTTGAAGGTTTGAAGCTTTGAAGGGTGTACAGTCGTAAACTCAGAACAAGTATGTTGGATTAAAAAAAAACGCGCTTTTAGATGTTCCACAACAACACCCCAAGGTTATTCTTGATGATTTTCAGAAGGAAAGAGGGTGTTTTGGTGTTTACGGTTGAGAGGTTAGAGAGAGAGTGGCAGAGTTTTCGGCCAGAAAAGGTTAAATGAAGGTGGGAGTCCCATATTTATAGGTTGGGTATATGGTCGGTGGTGGGGGCCACTTGTCACCAGCCGTAAATGGGTGTACAGCCGTAAACAGGTTTACGGTCGTAAACATCACTCAGGCCGAAAACTTTTGATTTTTTAAAGAAAATTCGGTTTTTTCGTGCAATTTTGGTTCCGAATCCTATATAAAATTCAATTATATAACTAAATGATTTTCCAAACCAAAGGAATTTGACGGACTCAATAAAATTCAAATTTTTATTGATGAAATCGGGCTAATATTGACGTAAAAAGATTCGGGTTGTCATAGACACATCATAGAGTTGTTTCCTAAAAATGGAGCATATACGCCCACACATTACCTATAAACAATACAAAAATAACAGAAATTTATATACCCAAAAACTAACAACAAATAAACATAACTAGCTAATATACTCCTCGTCATCCCCATCTCCACCATCATCATCATCATCATCATCATCATCATCATCATCATCACTATCATCATCTTCGTCATGATGTCCCCGATGTGCCCGACTGCCCGCCCCATCACCCAGTCGCTGGTAAGGGGGATAAACAAATCCCTGAAAAGAGAACTAATCGCTCATAGCACCCGCCATCCACTGCTGGCAGTGATAGACATCAATGAGCCTCCCTACTCAACTCATCCATGCGCCTATAGAGATGGGTTATGTTCATCTCAGGTTCGGAACCCCGTTGATCAGCAGGGGAAGCACGTTGGACACACTGCTGACGTTAACCCTATTCAAACTCCCTCTCCTCTTTGTGCTTTAGATCCACCTATGGGATGGGCATAACAACATCATTAGGGGAAATCCTTAAAACCCGATCTAGCCCACTAACAACCTCTTGTAATCGCATCAGATCCGCCCGTCCAACTCTCGAAGGGGATAATGAGTTATCCCATAAGTATCAACCCTATAAGACCGAGCCAAGTGGCAGATAAAATGGCCACCATAGATCTTGCTCCGTGGCCGAGATCCCAGTGTTAGACTGGAGGAAAGGAAGTAAGAAATGGCATAAGGAATATGGAGGTGAACATCAATATGAAGGAGGCACCACATCGGAAAAAGGTCGTCTGAAGGGACCTTATGTTGCTCCTCACGATGATGAATAGTGGAGATGATAAGGCGGTGCATGAACAGATGCAAAGGAGACCTGAAGTTTCTCTCCTTCACCGACCTCACCATGTACTCTCTGACAGCAAGGGGCCAAACACTCATATAATTGTATTCTCTCGGCTCCGAGAGATTACAACTGTCTAAGAAGGTCTCCAAGAAAAGATGATCAATATCCTTGGCAGAATATATCTCCAGAAGCTTCCCAAGCTCTAACAAACTACAAGATCGAGCAACTCCACCCAGCCTGAAAGACAATGTTAAGTCATCCGACCAAATCCTGGTATCCCAGTTGAACCGGACAGTAGAAAGAAACTGTATAACGAGCTCCTTGAATATAATCACCCGGAACCCCAAAATGCGACACCAGACGTAACTGATGAAGGTCATGAGACATGTCTCATTGCGAAGGGATCGTGTGAGAAATGGAACCAATAGCACTGTCAAACCCAAATCACTCGTAACACGCCAGTATAGAGACTATGTGATGCTGATCTTCTTGGTCAGCAACTCTGAACCCTGCTTAATGTAAAAATCTCGGTGAGGAAGAGGGGTCAAGAATGATAAAAGTGGGTGTTTCAGGAAGTCGTGAAGAAACGGCCTAGCTCGTTGTTGTATGTTCATCGTGGAACCTGAGAAAATGAATTAGCAACGTTAGTGAATTCAAATAAAACTTAATAATAGGAAAATCTGGAAAAACTGGAACCCATGTCGCTTCTCTTGACGCAAGGCGTGCATATGAAGATGCACCCCAGGCATCTTCATATGTGTCGCGCGCCTCAAGAACATGATGAAGAACGTATCGTAATCAGGCCCGATTTCATCCTAGAAGCATAGGGGTTCGATAATTCGTACTCACAAAAGTAAATTACACCACCAAATTGTCTTAAAACTCAATAGAAATTCAGATTTAACCGAAACCTTAATCTTTTTCCCAAATCCTTGAAAATGCTTCGAATTTGAGTAGTAAAATGAGTTTTAATGATAATCAACTATAGATTACTAGAATTGGTCAATATACTAACTATCTAACCCGTCAATTTCACAATATCACACCTAAATTTGAAAAATCCCAAAATACTAAAAAATTCAAAAACAGGAAAATTTGAAACCATTATCATTGGAAAGATGTTAAGGATTAAGACACGTGTACCTGGAAGGAAGGAGAATCAGGTACAGGAAAACGATGAAACCTGAAACGCGCAACGTGCAAACCTCGTATGGGGCCAAGAAATGAGGAAAAGAGGAAAAGAAATCGGAAGTGCATGTCGATTAGGGGGACCAACGCGCTTGTTTTATACCTTGTCCCAGCTCGCATGGCGCACCCGCTTTCCCGGCGCGCATTCCCAGAAACCCAAAAATAATTTTTATTTTGTTTTGCCTATATCCTTCCAGTTTGAAACCCTAAAATTTTACCTAGAATACTCATCTCTCAAATTAAAAGAATGAGCTCTAGATGCACTAAAAGGGGGTATAAGCCAACAACGAGAGAATGAAAAATAACCCGAATTCAAAAACCCCACTTAGGAAGCGATAAGCAGACATGTTGCTAAGAAATTTAAATTAACACAAATACAAACCTAGAAAATTACACTATAACATCCCGAAATTTCAAGAGTTGAGTGGAAGGGCTAAAAGTGTAATTTAGGAAAGAGTGACTCGTCGAGTCCATGGATGCACTCGGCGAGTAGAGTCGCGACTTGGTTGCGTGTTAAATAGACGACTCGGCGAGTCATTGAGATGGACTCGGCGAGTAGGCGCTGAGTGGAGAAAACCCTAATTCTTGGGGTTGAGCCCTATATAAAGAGCCTTATGTTTCCTCCCCAGCCTCTTTATCTCCCTTTAAGTCGCTGAAACCCTAAAATCATGGAGAAGCACCATTGTTGAGTGGATTGGGGCTTGGAGAAGTTTTTGTTGAAGAAAGTTTGGAAGTTTGAAGGTGTGGAGCAAGGGGCTTTGCTTGGATTCGAGTTCCTTGCAGGTTGGGGCGTTCTTTTCAGGTAATATCTCGTTCTTAGGCTATTGTTATCTTGTTGATTCATTTTGGGGTTTGAGGGAAGCTTATCTTGGGTGATACTCGAGTCTAGACGTTAGATCTGAGGTTGCTACCTCAGATCTGGAATGGAGGAGAGTTGGAATGCAGGAAAGTCCATGTGTTGAGTGTTGGATGAAGCTATCTTGTCCCAAACCATAGCCCTAATATGCAAAATGCATAGATCTCTTTGGATTCACGTAAAGATTGCCACTTTACGTGATGGATGAGTTGTAGGATGCTAGATCTATGTTTTGGATCAATTGCATGGTCTGGAACGCTTCTGTTTGGATTCAGACTGGTGGTACTCGGCGAGTCACATGGGTGGACTCGACGAGTTGCTTGAAGACGAGCTGAGACTCAACAAGTTGGAAGAACAACTCAGCGAGTTGGATGAAGATAGTTTGGAACTCGACGAGTTGGATGAACAAATCGGCGAGTAGGTTGAAGATAGCCTTAGACTCGGCGAGTCTGTTCTTGGACTCGGCGAGTCTTGTCGAAGAGTCCCAATATTTTCTGGTTGAGTCGAAGAATCGTCAAGTCAAGGGATGACTCGGTGAGTTATGTGCGAGTGGACTCAGAGTTGTTGGACTCGGCGAGTCTCGGGGTGACTCGGCGAGTTAGGTCGCGGATTGAGTGAAGTTTTGAGTTGGGAACTCGGCGAGTCATAGGGTTGACTCGGCGAGTAGGGTCAGTCAGGGGTTGACTTTGATCCAGTCTTCGACCAAGGGTTAACCAGTGGTTTCCAGGGGTATTTTGGTAATTGTTGATTATGGTAATTGTTCAGTGCATTGGTGGCTGTCCAGTGGTGGAGATTGTATCAGGGATCGGAGCAGTTCGGGTTATCTATTCAGTCGGCAGTTTCAAGGTGAGTTATCCTCACTATATCTATAGGGTTTAAGGCACCAAGGCCGACCCTTTTTATCGGATGGAAATCCGAGTAATTTGTCTGTTGTATGATATTGCGGGATATGGGCCGGAAGGCATTACGTTATGGGCCGGAAGGCATTACATGTTGTGGGTCAGAAGGCAATGCGATGTCGACCGGAAGGTCATGGCCTGGAAAGGCGTATGTGCATAATTAGTATGTTGGTTGAGTCGTAGGGTGATGTTATGCTAGTGATCGGCTAGGCTGGTATCTTGGTTAGAGTAATGATATGTTATGTGATCTGTTGATCGATTTGCTAACTGTGAACTGTTATATGATTACATGTTATACGCATGGTTGTTTTATGTTCTGTCATGATATGTATGCTTTTTATGTTGCGGGCCGGAAGGCGATATGATATGGGCCTGAAGGCTATATGTTATGGGCCGGAAGGCATTACGCTATGGGCCGGAAGGCGATATGTTTTGGACCGGAAGGTTGTGGCCTGGAAGGGCGTATATGTGGTTGGTATTTTGGGGGTATCTCACTAAGCTTTCGGGCTTACAGTTGTGGTTTTTATGTTTTCAGGTTCTCAGGAGTCTGTGGCAAGGCAAAGGCGTGATCGTACCGTTCCTTGCGTTGGTGTTTTATGAAATGGACCTGGGAAATACTCTGTTAAATAATGTATTGAAAACCTTTTTGTAACAACGTTATTAAAATGGGTTGTTTTTGAAAAAGTTTTAATTGTTTCGAAATTTCGGTCGTTACAAGTTGGTATCAGAGCCTTGGTTTGAGTGAATTGGAGAAACACTTGTGTGACTCCAGTCTCAAATCGAGGAAGGTTTTAAAAGAGAAATCAAAATGGTTTTAAAATTAAGTAAAAGGAGGACGCGGAGGTACGATCAGCCGGAGCCAGTAAGTAACCCCAAATTACCATTCATGACATTTGTTTTATTGAGCTTTGATAGAACAACATGCTAGAGTTAGGCTAGGGATCTTCAGGAATTCATGTTAATGTTGCCTGATTGTGATGCCTGTAGCCTAGGGTTTCTTATGGGAGATTCTCAGTGTTCCCTAGTGGTGAGGGTTGAGCGTTGTTATGCATGTTTTCTAGGGTGTTGTGGTAGTACTTCATACAAATATGGGTAGGTGTGGAAAGTAGTATGGGCCCGTACTACTAGAAGCATAGGACCCATACGCGTATCAGGGAAACCATGACCTCTAGGGTTGGGTTGAGAGTTGGTTCCCGGGATAGTGGGAAGAGTCTGAGGTTTTCTAGTATATTTTCAGTATGGAGATTTCGAGGCATGCTGGAAGCGGATCCGGGTCAGGATCGGGTGCAGGAGGAGAAGTTGCGGACGGGTCAGTATCACCCGAGATTACTGGTCAGATGAGCTCGTGCGAGTTGGATGCGAGGATTCGCGAGATCCTGCATGATGAGGTTGCTGCATTGTTCCGGGCTGAGTTGCCGGAGTTGTTTGGGTCGATCAAGACAGCCATGGTTGAGTATTTTGATGAGCGCTATGCGGCTCTCGCGGAGACGGCTGCCGCGGCGGCTACAGTGGCTGTAGCAGCAGTAGGGGGAGGAGCTGATAGGGATTTTCAGTATCGGGACTTCGATAATACGGAGCCTCCCACCTTCGATGGAGTTCAGAACCCGATTGTTGCTATGAGATGGTTATCGGACGTGGAGGGGTGTTTCTTCATGTGTTCATGCCCTGCTGATCAGAGGGTGAGGTGTGCTCTGAACCTGTTGAGGCTCGGGGCAAAGGATTGGTGGAGGTTGACCACGGGGTCATATTTGGATGCGCAGAGGGCTGCGATTTCATGGGATCAGTTCAGAGAGATGTTCAGTACTCGTTATGTTCCGCAGGTAGAGAGGGAGAGGTTGGCTCGGGAGTTCCTCGAGCTGAAGCAGGTTTCGGAGTCGGTGACGGAAATCACCAGGATGTTCACTGAGAGGGCGATGTTTTTCCCTGAGTTCGCTTCGGAGCAGGCTCAGATGTCCCGATATCTGAGTATGCTAAAGAGAGACATCAGACAGTTTGTGTCCGCACAGAGGTGCGGGACATTGTTGGAGTTGCAGGAGGCCGCCAGGCGGCGTGAGTTAGAGATTGAGTTGCAGTTGCGTGAGCTGAGGCAAGCTCCGGTTCAGTCGGAGCCGGCAACGAAACGGTCTAAGACCGTTGATTCCAGGATGGGGGATCGAGCAGCCACACTTGGGAAGTGTGGGAGGAGTCACACCGGAGTTTGCAGGTCCGGTGGTGCATGCCGCAAGTGCGGAAAGGAGGGACACTATGCGAGGGATTGTCGGCGGTCAGCGCCGA